GGAGATGAAGGAGTCCAGCACTGGAGATATGTATCATGAGGGGTTTTTTTTATATATAAAGCAACAGAATACAGAATGATGTAAACAACTGACAGTCACACACACTAGTACACACAGTCACACACACACTAATGTCTGACCCTCCTGGCCTCACACTATCTCTGCTTCCCCAATTAAACTGTTTTCCTTCCTTTCTCCTGTTTCTTCTCTCCTGATATACACAACTGATGAGGGGCTGCTGGTTCTGCAGCTCGGGGACAGAGATGACACATTCTTCTCTACGTGGGTCCCACCACTGTGTCTCTGCTTTAATTACACTGGACTTGAGCAGTTATCAGATGATGAGCTCTAAGTCCTCTATGTGAATGACAATAAGTGTGTGTGTGTGAGTGGAAAAAATATTTTAGGATATAGTGGAAATATTTATGCTGTAATCAGAGGTAGTGAGAAATCACTTGAGCATGACCATTGATCTGGATGAAAGTTGGATCAATATCAGGGCCAGCCGCTTATTATTTGTCAAGTGTTATACATCCTTCCTTTGTAATGGATTCCATGGTTCGTTTGGTTGTTGTTGTTTTTTTGTTTTTTTTTTTGCTCTGAATGACTAAATTATAGCTGTTACTTACTTGTATACCATGTGGACTGGGACACAGTTTTAGTGGTGTTTTCCCCCGTCTCACTCGTCTACCATTCATTATTCATGATAAAATGCTTTTCTTCTGTATGCACATAATGTGCCAGTAAATTTGCACTTGACAAAAGATCTCACAGGAACTAATGGGTACTGGGTTTAAATCCAGTCATTAAATGTAATGTTCTCTCTTTAAACTAGTCCTTTGAATAAAGTAAGACATACAGTACATAAAAAATGAAAGGATTTTATGTTGAAACTGCTATTTACTATGTTTATTTTTCCACTACAACAAAAATGAAATCACAATTAATCAGTAGCACGTCTGAACATGACCATAAAATATTCACACATACACATGAATGAGTACTTTATGTGGGAAAGTAGTACAGCTATGACGCACATGATGTGGCAGACTGCTGTAGCTCTTAAATAATCCTAAATCTTGTTTCTTTTTTTTCTTTTTTTTTGGGTGAAACTACTACCGCTACTGGCCAGAGGAGGCATAACTTAAAAACTCTGGCTTCAATCGACTTCAGTTCAAACTTTTCTCATTAAAGGAACATAAATCAGTCAAAACATATTTTTCACATCTTCACCTTATACATTAAAAAAAATTATATTTTAAAGCTCAGAAATCTATACCATTATGCCTTGTTACCTGCCAAGAAAATAGCAAATGAGCCAGGGTGAAGGAATAGAAAAGAGTCAATATGAGATTGATTGGTAGACTGTAAAGAAGTGGAAAGTGAGCACGGTGTAATGTCGACTTCCAAAACCTGAAACTGCAGCACTCCCTTAGACGTCGGGATTGAAGTAAATGTTTGTTGGCCTCAGTTTCGGGACAGTCATTTCAACCACCAATTCAGTTAGTCTATAAACATTGCTTTAGTGACAGAGTAGTGTTACGTTTCCGCCCAGCCTCCAGAGAAAAGTCTAAGTTTATCTCCAGGAATATATCTTTTCAAATGGTGCTTCTTCTAAGCCTCAGATCATATCCAACTTCCTCTTCCTGTGCCTCACATTTTTTTAATCACCCATTGTCATCTCTTCATCCTCAAATCTATATTGTTAGGTTTTCTCCCTCTGTTTGACAGTGTGATTAGGATGGACCGACACACACATACCACTGACATTCCCATTTGCCATCATCAGGCGCTGTGGCTTCAATGTTGTTAGAGATGTTAATTTTGAAGTAGCTGATAACACAGCAGAGGAAGCCACTGGTCAACCACACCCACATCGTTGATCCATGAAAGACACTAGGGTTAAATATACCCTCATCAAAGTGTGCTCGTACATCTGCTTTATCTACAGTGAGGCCCACAGAAGTAAACATGATTATTTTAAAGTGTTTCCTGTAATTATAGGGAAGGACCATACACACAACATACTATCATCAAGGCCATGAGCAGGATCTGTTGGGACTACTGTCTCTCTTTTTTTTTCTCACCACTATCGTGATCACCACTGATTAAAAATGTATTCTACATTTTGACACAAGTTTGACCTTTGACAACACACGTTGACCAATCAAAGCTCCTAGTGGCTGCTCTGTTAGCCTCGTTTACATATAGCTTTAATGGAAAAAACACTATTACGCTGAGGTCAACCTTAAAGCACAAACATTAAACCTCAACAGAACTTCACCTTTTAATATCAGCAGAGAGTTTGAATGATGGAAAACACGGCTGTTGAAGACTTCCAGAACTTATCAAGTCCTCTTCCCTGATCCCATTATTTTCATTTCAAATCCTGCTACAAAGTGTTCTCACCTTTGAAAACAGAAGCCAGTGAACCATGAACCACCTTCTTTAATCAGACTTAGTAAAACCCTCCCAGACCTCATCATTACTACCTTCATTTTTTTTTTCACTCTAAGGAAACTGACTCCCATCTGCCTCACCATCAGTCTTCTGTACGAGCCTCCAGACCAGATTTCAGACCTGTCACAGTTTGGAAGATTAACCTTCAGTGACCAAATGAAGAGAGTGGAGTTGAATGTTATTAATGTGATCCCTGTGGCCTTGTCGTTTATCTCATCGCCGCGTTTATTCTTTTATAAAATTCTCTGTAAAACACAATGATTTGTACTCATTTGTGTTCGTTGTCATTGTTAAAAATCAAATCAAACTCATTTTCCACACATTTAATTGTTAGCTTTTTGCGACATGTGAATTAAAGACCTAACGTCCCTGTATGTCAATCATTCATCCAGTCCATGTAGATCAGTGTAACAGAAAGGTAGGCCTGTCCTGTCCTTCACCCGTCATGCTGTCAAACTTTCTGCAGGAACCCAGCAATTATTGTGCTTTTGCAGGCAGCTAGACACTTTGGACTGTGCACAACGGCAGATTTTAATAAGAAAAATTAATTTTAGCATAGGACTCGATGAGTCTCGATTGGCTTATGAAGCTTCTTTGCCCCATATTTTAAGTCACCTGTAGCGATGCATGGACTCATCCCATTATGGTTGTTACCCTGTCATTACCCTATGACATCTTCTCACTCACTCTTTGAAACAGTCCAGCTCACAGTCCTCCATTGTTCTGAAAGGAAACTGATGCCAAGCGTCGTCGTTGGTGTGTTCTCCTGTTCTGTACGTTCCTACACTTGTTCTCTGCCATTTCTATTAACATTTTCATCTCTGTCTACTTAGTAATGAATGAATTCATGTCTCTGAGTTAAAAAGTTCCCAAAGGAGAAATACACATGTGATCTCTGACCGTCACTTATCCACTTTATCCGTCTCCATGGTGACAGAGAAACTGATACCGTTACCTCTCTATGTGGGGAGAGTGAGAGTGAGGGAGGGAGAGCGAGGGAGGGTGAGAGAATGGGAGAGAAAATCTTTTTCTCTAATCGTTAAAACACTTTCTGGAATATTTTCTTATCTTGGTGTCATACTTTCAGACAGCTTTACTTCCAGCCACACTCTGACATGTATCAGGTCCAGGTGACTGCCGAGACTATCAACAGAAAAACCATGCTGGAAACAACAGAGCAAGTATTCAGCAGAACACAGCCTCCTGTTGTTTGGACATTATCAGTCCACCTGTTCAGAGGATACAATGTCAAACATCATTTTTAGTCTTTTGACTCTGTTTATTGTCCACAGTCTTGGGGTTATTCAGACAACTTTGCTTCATCTATCATTTACTGTTGGCTGTTGAAGCAGTAGTATCGAACGTGCTATGTGATGAAATTCTGATCAATTTCAATACAGAACTCTGTTTGGAGGAGCTATAAAAAGTAAATATTGACAAAGACCTAAAATACACATTCCTTATTTCATTTTGGTTTTCTCCTTCCTCTGTTGTGTGATTTCTTTTTTCCCTTATAAATAAATAATAGTTGAATAGTTTATATTGAATCCAACTTCCGACTACGTTTCTGAACGACATTTGTGTGACTGTGAACAGACTGGTGACTGTGAGGGTGAGGGACAACAGTGTTGTTGTGTGTCCCTGCTCCACACAGTCAGTTGTGGTTTTATCTTACCTTCACAGCCGTGGACGGCTGAGGTGAGTGAGTGTTCATTTGGCTGCAGTTTGTAAACAATTTAAAGAAATGTAATGTAATCGTCTGTCAGAGCGGTTAGTTGGAACAGATACACAGAGAGTGCAGAGACAGAGGGACAGACTGAATATTTAATGTGTTGTTTCCCATTAACAAACACACAACACGCTAAAAGAATTCCTCTTCTCGAGATGCCTTTGTTACAGATTTTCAAAAAGAGGTGTCGAGAGGAAGTGAGTGACAGATCAAAAATAGAGGTGAAAAAAACAAAAAGGGAATTTGTCAGATAATGTTTCCATTCCACAGTTTAACTCTGTCTACATCTGCCAACAAGAAACAGAGTGGTTTATCTCATTTATAAATTCTAAAATAAAAATAAAACAAAATGGGAAAAGTGGGTTTAAAAAAATGCAATGGTTGTTTTCTTCTCAGGGACAGTTCTGTTTTGACTCTGCTGCCTCCCACCGGTTAGAGGTGAACACTACATTTGACCCAGACTGCCCACACTACACCGGAGGCAAAACGACAAGAGCAATAAATACTTATTGCATGATAATTAACTTTAAACCATTTATATTAGGAAAATATGTGTACAGATAAATACAACTTTTTTTACTGTTATTAATGAGTTCATGTGAAACAATACCAATACCGTAATCAAATCATCTCTTTTTTTATTCCATGTTATGGATGCCCATTTCTACAAACATATATTCTCTGAATATTATCTAAAAATCCATCTGGTATAGATCTCACTTGTTAAAATATAAATTGTTGTGGTGCATGAGAGCAAAATAAATATTTTATGTAATGTTGTTTTTTCTTTATTCTTTATCTTTCTCTGTAGGTATCTTAGCCCAGCTCCAAATGCCACAGACCAACATGGATGTGACCAAGGGTAAGATGGTGGTGCTGACGGCTTCTTACAACTCTGTGCCAGGCAGTGACCTGAGCACCAACACCATTCTATGGAACCTTGTCACCAACAACACCCAGCTGGTAAGAAACAAATGGACAATTTGGAAAATGTTGTCATTTAGTTGTGAAAGGTGATGCATTTTGTCATATATTGAATATGTCAAAGTCAAACAGGTTTTTAAGCTTTTATAGAAACTCTAATAGTTTCAGTCCAAAGGTGTAAGTTCATGTCAAATTATATTTAGGTCACGGTTTGTTTCATTCTGCAATGAGCGAAAACAAAATCTATTTAAATGTTCAGCTGAGTACGTTTCTCTTCAACACTATCATTTGTCAGCCTGAGTCAAACAGATGGACGTCTCAAAAGATGATCTGACTCAAATGGAAAACAGGAGAGAAGAGACTTTAATGTTGGCTTTCCCTTAATTTAGAGCCAAAACGATGGATGAAAAGAACGAAACTCTGTGTAGAGAGTCTGAGCAGATGGCACACAGCTCTGCAGCTCAGCTGAGCTGACAGGACATGATGACTTTAACTCTACTTTATGGGATACTCTTCCTATTCAGGTTCTAGTTTATTTTTTGTAGAGTCGGATTGATAGATTTTAATGGGAGTTCTTATAAATTATAGATTATTTCCTCAATTATTTATTTACGTCAAAGATACAGACAGGGAAGCTGTACATTGTTGAATTTCCCCTACTGAGGTGAAAAGGTTTCATATTTTCCCTTCCACTCCATCCAGATCATCTCATACACCAAGGGTTCTATGAACGTGGGAAGCGCTCAGTTCAAAGGTCGGGTTGGTTTCACCTCCACCATGCCCTCACGAGACGTGTCTCTGTACATCAACAACACACAGGAGTCAGACTCCGGCCGTTACCTCTGCCAGGTCATCATCCCTGATCACTCTGGCTACACTGCTGAGCTGACACTGGACGTGAAGGGTGAGATTCAAACTGCAAACCCGTCGTTGTGTGCAATCTAACAGGATGAGTGTTTTTATTCATCTCATCTTCCTCCTGCAGTGCCCCCTGATGTTCCTAAGTGCTCTGTCTCAGGGAAGCCAGTGCTGAAAGGAAACGTGACGCTGAGCTGCACGTCCAGTTCTGGGAAACCACTTCCTCTGTACAAGTGGAGGAAGACCAGCCCCACCTCTGAAGTCTTCTTCTCTCCCATGCTGAGTGAGTGGAGCCTGCTCACTGATGTCAGCGTGTCTCACAGTACAATATCAGTATTTACGTTTTTCAAAAATGATTTAAAAAATATTGAAATCATTCTAGGTACAAAATAACTAATTTAAATAAAAAAATCATATTTAAGAATTATCACAGTTGTTTAACATTAGTTAAAAAAACAGTAATATCATTTAAATAAATATATATATATATATTATTATTTAAATTATTTTAAATTCAACATTTAAATAAAATTGAAATATATTAAACAGTTATATTTTAGTTACAAAATCAGAAACTTAAATGTTTATAAAATGTATTACAGTATGGTATATATTATATATTATAGTAAATGACTGAATTCAGCTGTAATCCCACTACAGCAACAATGAGTGTTTACACGTCTGACTTCATCCTCTACATTCTGGAACATTCTAGACGAGAAAACTGGAACACTGAAGTTGAGCAACCTGAGCAGTAACATGTCAGGGAAGTACACGTGTACCGCCAGTAACTCTGCTGGGTCGGAGAGCTGCATCATCAACCTGGACATCGTCAGCTGTATGTACTTCAATCAGCCGCCTCATTATACTTTGTCGTGTAGTATTATATGCTTCTAACCATTTGTGTTCGTGTACCACAGCCACCAAGGTGGGTGTGATCGTGGGAGCCACCATCGGCTCTGTGGTGGGCTTCCTCTTCCTCCTCTGTGTCTGTGGCTTTTTTGTGCTGAGGAGACATCGAGACCACGAGGACGACATGGCCAATGACATCAAGTGAGTTGTTACTCAGTGTCAACACAGTGAATTTAATTCTCCAAAAATATAACGTCAGTGTGGGAAGAACTTCTCACTGAAGTCGAAGTACTGCAAGTGCATGTAGACTTCGTGGCTCAGTGGGTTTTTACATTTTTATAGATCGCAATTTATTGAGGGGCTAGGGGGAGACAAGAGGAATTATATGAACATAGTATGTGTATAATACTGCAATACACAAGTACTAGAGTTTGACATGAGTGTTAGTAAGAACCTAAGCTTGGAGTCTAGTGTTAAACCCAGACTCCTCGTCTTCTCCATCCCCAGGGAAGACGCTCAGGCTCCCAAGCGTGTGTCCTGGGCTAAGAGCAACATGGGCTCCGACATCATCTCCAAGAACGGCACCTTGTCATCCATCGCTTCCAGCCCCCACCACAAAGATCCTTCCATGCACCACAACAACCACCACCACCTGCAGCAGTACCCCCAGCGCCCACATTCAGACACCGCCTCCATCATCACGGCCACCGGCAGCATGGCCAACTACCGACCGTCTCGCCATCACGGCGCCTCCACCCCCACGCACTTCACTTTCACCAACAACAACACCCTGCCACATGAACAGGCTGAAGCCAACCTTCACAGAGGGTCTCCACCCAGACCGGAGCGTTACGCCCAGCTGCCCCAAGCTCAGACGGTTCCACAGACCTACGGCCAGCCTCAGCTGCAGCTCCAGGCTGCTTCCTCCCCTCCACCGCTGCCCAGCTCTGGGGTGACAGCTGCCAACATCACCCGTATGGGAGGAGTTCCCATCATGGTGCCTGCACAGAACCAGGCCGGATCTCTGGTCTAACGCCACCTACTGGTGGCAAAACAGTTCTGTTCAAAAACAGCAGAGTGTGAACGCAGGAAATACTATTCAGAGAAGAAGCCCAGACCAGACTGTTTATTTTCTTTAAATACACTTTTATATTCAGGATGCACTGTTATACGCAGTACATTGTGTATACGTGTGTGTACACATGTTTTCTTATGTATTTGTTGAGTATCCTCTTTTCTACTTCACCAAAGTATTTCTGAGTATTAATATTATAACATATCTTTAGACTTTTTTTGTTATTCTTTGGTTTGTTTTTGTTGTTTTTTTCTGAGGTTTTCAGCAGAGGAGGACCTGGGTCTGTGTGAGCACACTTTACTGGTCGGACAAGTAAATGTTGCAGGAAAGTAGTACTGCATGTGGAGATCTCTTTTTTTACGTTGTAAGTACAAGTACAGAAGACAAAAAAAAAAAATATATATATATATATATAAAGACACTTTTAGACAAAATTAAGCCTTTTGTCACTTAGGCCATAATTTGTTTATTTTTTACAAAAAGCAATGCGTTCCACTTAGGAGCAAAGTTTTCACTTTCTTTATGAGAGAATAATACTTACAACTTAAATAGGTTCAAATTTATTAAAATTATCACAAAACAATGCTATAGAAAAAAAAATTCACCAGTGTTTCTGTTGACTGTTCACTTTAATAATTCTCTTAGACTCTTTTTTCAGATATAAAAATGCGCATTGTTGTCACCTGTAACGTCAACTTGTTTTATAGATTCTACCCAAATTTAAATTGTAAATATTATATTTATTCTGTTTAGAAACATGGAGATCAACAGTGAAGAAACAGTTGACTATAGAGACAGTCTCATCTGCTGTTACATAAATATGGAGAATTATCAAGTCAAAGATCATACGGAGGTTTGTTTTTTTGTTGTTGTTTTTTTAAGCAAGCACTCTTTAAAACACTTGAGTTTGAGTTTTACCATTTTTGACGTTTGATGTGAGAAGATGGCTCAGCCTCAGCCATGAAGAAGTTCAGCACCTTGGACAGGTACTGTTGTGTGTAGTCTGACATCATCTTTGGCAAATAGAAATATTGAACTCACATCACTTTTATTCTGTTCTTTATTAAAATTCCTCAACAGTCAATGTGCTGTATTCATTTTAGCTGGCTGTTTGAGGTCAAAGCCATTTTGCTAAGCATTTATGATGACATTTCTATTGAAAGGTCACTGATGAGTGGCTAATTATTTTATTAGTTCACGAAAACAGTGTCAGAAACACAGTCTATTGAAGGCACAAGTTTGGTTCTCCCTCAAACGTCATATTTCCTTTAATGATTCAGTGGATAAAGCAGAGATGGGGGGGTGTTTTTATTTTATTATCACAAGAAGTTTAAAACAAATTCCCTGTGACAGGTAAAATAAAGCTAATAAAGGATATATTCATGTATATTTTCTAGGATTTTTTATGTTCCAGAATTTTTTTAATTTAAGCTCATAAATAACATATAAAGTAGTAATGGTCCACACAATCTATCATTTTGCTGTACAGTCATTACACTGGATTTTTTTTTATAGTAGACTTTGAAAAATAATTCTGATGTGGACTCAGCAAGAAAAGTATTTCAAATGTAGTTTGGTGACTGTGTATAGTTTGGAGTCAAGAATATAGAAAATAGTACATGTAATATGGTTGAAAAGCACTTGTCAGTTAGTGAGAACGCTGTTAGCTGTGAAAAAAAGTACATCAGAAAAACCAATGTATGTTGACACCAGACTTTATTTTTCTATAGTCACCTGACTTCATGAACACCTGATGCTGTGTGACTTTTTTTAAGTGCTACTTGTCAGTGAGTTTTAAGACATTGCAGATGTAACATTGATGGATGAGAATGTCTGAAATCTGTAGCTTACAGATTTATGTCTATATAAAAATGCTTTGTATAAAGTCATTTTGATTAAATAACATTTTGTCTTTGCACATGTCAGCATATCTACTTAATAGGTCACACCCTGATTCAAATATAATTAGATTTTTCAGATACACAGAGTTGGCTCCAGCCATTTTGGCCCCCTAGGTGAGATTGTGGTTTGGTCGCCTCCTTATGGCCCATGATGGATCACACAATTGCTCCCTCCAGCAGATGGAGCCCTACGTTATGCTACAAATACTGAACCTCCATGTTCACAACTCAGACCCAGAGCCAACATTTACCTACTTACTCAGCAGATCCACACCATTAAAAAGGGACCAGAGTCACAACAACTTTGAGCACAGAGCCATCCACCTTCAGACTTCACTGACTGGCTAACCATCCTCCTGGTTATGGCTCTGGCTCCAAAACCCAGATTCCACAGTTTATAAATGTAAGACTGGAGAAACAGAAAGGAAACAAACAAGACAACAGATAGATGGCAATGTGCTGTTTATAATGCACACACGCACAGCAGCCTATCAGAGCACAGCAGCAGGCACGGCAGCCTATCAGAGCACAGCAGCAGGCACGGCAGCCTATCAGAGCACAGCAGCAGGCACGGCAGCCTATCAGAGCACAGCAGCAGGCTTGGCAGCCTATCAGAGCACAGCAGCAGGCTTGGCAGCCTATCAGAGCACAGCAGCAGGCTTGGCAGCCTATCAGAGCACAGCAGCGGCACGGAAGCCTCAGAGAATAAAAGAAAAACGAGGTTCCCTACTGTGTTGAAGATCTTCAGGATGGCCAATCTGGAAAATAAAACAAAGTCACAGAAGAAGTCATGTAAAGTATCAGTGTGATCATAACATTTATAAAACAATTAATTTCTTATTAAACAGAAACCCTGAGTTTGACTCCACAGGTGGCTCACCTTGTCTTTCAGTTTCAGGAATTTACTCTGACACTGGACAACTTCAACCTGGTCTCAATGAAGCTGTACCTTAAACCCTAAAATGGTCAAATATGATTCAATGAGTCAACACAGTCAGACGTGGGTCATTATGTTTAAAAAAAAATAGTTTCTGCAAAAGAAAATAAATTGACAACAACTTTTCTTCACTTTAAGAGAAGTCTAACCTTTATAGCTGAAAGGCATAAAAATAGATAAACAAATAAATAAATAAATAAAAACACCAACAGACGGGAATGTAAATTCCAAAGTCACTTACCTTTCTATCTGAGTCGTTCATCCGGACCAGGTGGAGCCGTCATCAAGGAATAACTCCGTACAGCTGGTGAACTGTTTCAGTGTTTGACGTCACACGCCGCTACCGTGTTTTTGTTCCGCTTCATCTCTGTGACGTAACTACTCTAAAACAACGTGATGATGGTGCAGGTGGAGTTGGAGGGGGAAGATGATGAAGAATGATGATGATGACGACGACGTCTCATTTATATGCAGAAATTTAGGAACAACTATTGCGGTAATTATAGTCATAATAATAATAGCGAAAATGAGCCTTTGGAACCTTAGCAAGAACAGAATTTTTTTTATTTTTATTTCTGCATTAGGAGAAGTCACTCCTATAGTCACTGCTATTTTCCTGGAGTGTTTGATCGTCTTCTGGTTTGTGTTGCTTGGTCTTGCACAAGGCAGGCATAACAATGAATTACTCTTCCACAAGGTGGCAGCAAACGCTTCAAAACTGAAAATACACACATACACTGAAAAGTACACATAGTGAGCATCGAAACTAAAACAGTATAAACAGTATATTTTAATTAGACAGAGAAAAACTACAAAAGAAGTCTTTTAATTACTAGACAGAGAAAAACTACAAAAGAAGTCCATTTTACCACACTTTTATTTTGAAGGGGTGAAAGAAAGAGAGCACATTTACACACCTTTCGGGTAGAATGTTTATTAATGATGTAACATTCACTTACATGGCGCAAAGAAAGTCATAAATATGTGATGATGCAAATATGCACGCCTTTGTTAGTATGAGCTCATCTTGCAGGTACTGATACAGTATATCCGAGAAAATTCAGAAATATACCTGTGAGTTTGTGTGAGTCTGAAGAGGACATGATGCTTGGATGGCTGCTGGAAATAAATTAAAAAAAATCGGTGGCTGAGGTAATTCCTCACATTCACGTACACGCGGACATACAAACGTGTGAAATGAATTGGATCTGAGGCTGTGAAAAACAGAGAAATGATCACAGTTAAAGTAGCTGTGTAATGCACTGCACCCGTAATAGTTGTAATTGTTTGTTGTTATTCATATAGAGCTACAGTACTAAGTTGGCAGAAAACGGTGCATGGCTTTTGTATTCAAATTAGTTGATCATTTGATGAAGACAATAGTTATGAGGTTAGTAACCAAGGAAAAACAGAAGGAAAAAAATAAAGGAAAAACAGAGAAGGAGGAAGAAGCACTCATGATGTTGTATCCCTGTACCAAAGTGGTGCTGTGACTGAAAACAGCATGTCATGCTTTATAAGTGAAGTCCTTCGAAGTGAGACTAAACCACCCAACTTCAGTTTGTAGTAACGGCGTCTGGCCTGAACTTGTATGAGCAGGAGGACAGAGGATAAGCTCAGCAAAAGGCAGTAGTCATAGTCGAGGTGAACAAGATAATGGTGATGGTGAGGATCCATGGTTGATAATGGGAAAGAGGGGAGGTCATGCAGCTCGGGCCAGAGGTCATGAGGGTCGGTATAAGGCCCTCTCGGGGCAGGATTTTCCATCACAATGTGGCCCTCGGCATCCTGGTACTTTAGGTAGGACACAAGACTGGAGGAAAACAACAGGGGACAGCAGTGTTAGCGTTGTGTCAGATTAGAGTAGGTCACACACACACATGCAGGTGTCAGCGTTTAAAGTTTGCCTACAGGCGATAAAGTAGTGAATTCAACATATACTATAGAGGCAGAAAAACTGCTTCATTATGTGATGACTTTGTCCTCACACTGAGAATGAAAAAAACAACACTGGATTTCCATTATGAGGATCATTACAAAATAAACACACACAGATGAATAAAATAAATCTATTATCTAATTTTTATTCATATAAAACAAGATGACATAGTAAAGACAGTAAAATTGGCCCTCTGGTGGAACAGCTAGGTAATACGCTAACTAAGGCGGGACTAAAGAAAACAAAGCAGAGTTATAAATAAACAGAAAAATCTAGTGAAAGAAAGGGGGAGACTTACCAAATAAAAACTATTAAAAAATTACAAAAATATATTTTAACATTTTTGATATTTCAATAAATTGATCACATTAAACTAATGTGTTGAAATAAAAAATGACTATTAATTAAGT